ACCACCCAGAAATGTGGGCGAGGAGCTCCCCTGCACCCAGGCTGAGCTGCAGAAGGCACCACCAGCTCCTCGGGTGGAAGGACACGCCGGGGCTCGAAGGGTCAGAAAGCCTCAGGCCTCATATCCAGGGCACCACAACATTCAGAGTGCTGGGTCCACACTACCCAGATACTCAGACAAGTGGGGTATCAGCGCCCCAGTTTCTCAGTCATCCAAGTGTTCAAGAGATGAGCGTTCCCACTCCAGATCTGCCAGCAGGGTGGATGGACAGAAACCCCAAGCCTCCAAGCCACGGGGTGCGGAGACCCAGACACTCAGACAGACGGGTACCAGAACCCACACCCCCACATGAACACGGTAGAGGCTCTAGGTACTCAGAATAATGGGGTCCAGGTGTCTCAATGTCAGATGGTTGAGGTGGAGGCACCCAGCAGTGAAGTGTGGCTCACAGAGCGTCCAAAGCACGAGAACAAGGCACCCGGCTCCGGGCCCTGGGCTGGCACCCAGGCTTCAGTACCATGTGTCACGGGGGATTCAGAGGGTTCAACAGTAGGGGAGCCCACTGTCCTGGCACCCTTGTGACAACAGGAGAGCGAGAAGGGGCAGGTCACCCAGCCCTGGGTGAGGAGGGGCTGCACAGGCACGAAGACCGCCAGGCTGTGTCCCGCAGAAGTTCTCAACGGTGGAGTGCAGAGACGCCGATGCCCGCTTGGACACAGCCCCCCAGACAAGGTAAATGGGGACCACACAAAGCTGTGTGATGGGGTGCAGCCTCCTCCCAGAGGCCCAGGTCATGGGGTACAGCATCCCCAGATGCCTGGCTGATGGGGGGCAGCCTCTCAGGATGAAGAGGTGCAGCCAGCCTGAATGAAAGGTGACTATCATACACAAGCTAAGACGCAGAGAACGGGCACAGGGCATCCCGAACCACTGAAAGCTGAGTCCCCCATTCCCGGCCATCCTGCGCCCCAGCCAAAGAGGGTGCCCCAGCCCCTAGGAACGCAGATGCGGAGGGAGACCGGGGTCAGAGCGGGTGGTCAGGGCAAACACGCATTCACCCAGCACACTTCTCTGTGTGCCAGTGACTCCCGGCTCCCCAGAGCCAGCCTTCGCCTTGTGTTCCAACCTCAAACATTCCCCAGGCGACCTCAGAGGAAGCGGCCCCATCCAGGAGCCCCACCAGGGTCTCCACGGGGCTGCTGGCTGCCAAGCCGCTGTCTCGGGGCCTCAGGGCCGGCCTCGGGCTCCAGCTCTGTTTGGTTCTTTCCTTCCTGCCCCGGAACCTCAGACGCCCGTCTGGCCGTGAAGGCGCCCATATTCTGGGGAAGGTACAAAGCCCCTACACAGCCAGACGCAGAGAATCTCGCTTGGGGCACGTAGCTCAGCTGTGCCCTGGGGCCGGCGTCCAGCCACCCCTGCACATGTGCCCTCGCTTGCCTAAAAGCCCCGCTGGGCAGCCTCTGGCCCCTTTCATCCCAGACTGGCCAGACTGGGAGACAGACCCCTGCCCTGTGCAAACAGCAGAAGGACGTGCACATCCGCACACACCCAGGACTGCGTGTGACCGGAGGGGCCCCGACACGCGCATGCGTGGCCCACACGTCCCCCTGCTGTGGCCCAAAGGCATCCTTGGAGCCTCAGCTATGTCCCCTTATGTGCTGCCTGACCACCCGCCGGCCCGGCCCTGCTGAGACAGGTTTTCCCGTTAAGCATTAACCAGCAGCGATAAGGGCTCTGGGAAATGCTCTGTCCTGGGAGGGCCGCTCCAAGGTGGGCCCAGCTCATGGACCTGACTAGACTGGCCGGACGAGATTAACCGGCCAGAGCAGAGTGGGGAGCTCAGGCTATAGGCCCCGCTTGGGGGTCCAGGTGAAGCAAGGGACACTGAGGTTAGACTGCAGCGAGGACTTCCGGCCGCTTGCTCAGGGGCCAGCGGCTGAGGGGGTCGCTCATTAGGAAACCAAGAAGTCAAGAGACTGGGCCAGCCAGGCAGGAGACAAAGGCATGGAGGGGAGTGTCCTGAGGGTGCCTGGGCCTGGAGGCGGAGGCAGCTGCAGAGCCAGGCAGGCCCACCTGGTCCTCTACGAGCCCTGCCCCACACTGCCCAGGGCGGCCCCCACCCAGCCCTGTCCTCCTCACACCTGTCCCCCCGACCCACAGCACCTGAGAGTGCTCTCTTCCAAGCCCGGCGGCCCTGTGCCTCGAGACCCCTCCCTGGAGTCAGGACCTGCTCAAACCAGGTTCGACCAGTCCCCCTCCTGCTGCCCCTCACCAAGGCCAGCCCTCTTGGGCCCATCACCTCCTCCAGCAAAGCTGGGTAGGACTCAGGATGCCCCCAGCCCCAAGAGACTCTTGGAAATAGGCTGGAGCCCAGATGCTCAGCCCCTGGGCCTCAGAGAGACCTTCTTCCCAAAGGGAGTTTCCCAGCTCTCACGGGCCAGCAGCTCCCGGCCACGAGGTGGGGCTCCTGCAGCTCTGCCCCCCACCCCCGCACCCCTCCTCCCCAAGGAGAGCGTTCAGTCACCAGAGGCAGCACTGCCTGAGACCTGGACCGGCCTCCGGGTGCCCAGGGTCTGAGAGGAAGGCCTGGTGGCTGGCTGGTCCGGGGAAGCAGGGGGCGTCAGGTGAGTGCGTTTATACCTGGGGGCTGCCAACCCCGGTACATGGGGAAGTCTTATTTTTCAGAGGAAGGGCCCGCAGAAAGGTGCTCCTATGGAAGCCAAAAGCATTCCACTTGCACTCCCCATGGAGGGAGTCTTTATTAGCAAGCCTGAAACAAGTGCCCAGCCTTGGGCTGACAAGAAGTCTAAAGGAAGGGGGCTCACCCACGTTATGCCTGGTGGGGGCTGGGGGTCCCAATGGGGAGGTGGCGCAGGGTGGAATTCAGTACAAGACGTCATGGCAGGTCTGGGGGTCCTGGGGTGACCAGGGAAGGCTCCCTGGAAGAGGTGGGCTCACGTAGGCCTTGGAGGGCGAGCAGGATGGGAATGCAGCTGAAGGAGCAGAGCAGCCACCTTTGTGGGGATAGTGGAGCTGGTTCCCGGAGCGGGTGGCCGGCGGGCAGGGGGTGAGGGTGGCCAGGGAGGTAGGACCATCTCTTTTCCTGGGAAAACATGACGTAAACCCCCAGAGAAGGTTTTCCCAGCATGGCCACAGAAGATGGACACCCAAAGCCAGACAATGGTGAGAGCGGCCCGGGAGGATCAGGGAGGGAGGGCAAGGGGTTCCTGGATGGGGACTGGGAGGCCCAACAGCCCCCAGCGCCCAAGGGTCTCCAGGCCCCTGTCCCCAGGAGCCGCGCTGGAGTCCGGGTCCCGAGGGGCAGACGGCGCCATCTGGTGGCCATAAGCTCACTGCACCTGCACCTCCTTGTGGTCCCGGGGGTCCAGAGGGACCGCGCACCTCCCCAGGCTTCAGGACGACCCCCAGCGCCAACAGCCAGCTCCCCCAGGGTCCTGGGGTTTTCTGGAGTGGCTTCTGGTGGCTCCTGTGCTCCTCTGGGGACAAGATCACCAGGCTGGCCCAGGCAGCAAATCAGTGCAGGGATCTTCTCCCGGCTCTCCCTGACCGTTCTTAGACTAAAAGGGGGGGGGGGGGTGCCGCAAAGTGGGGGCGCAGGGGAGGGGCGCACGCACAAACACGCACACGTGCCTGCACGCACAGGCCGGGATTCTGTATTGGCGACTCATCCTGAATCCCAGCCATAAAAATCTGCTTTATGTGAAGCTGCTTGAATCTCAGCATAGAGTCCGACATGTCAGAAGGAGAAGCTGACTTTCACCTCCACGTGGGGAGGAGGCAGTGGCCTGTTTGAATCTGGCCTGCACAGTCCTGCTCCAGGAACCCTGCGGACCCTAGTAGGGTGCTCCACCAGCCGCATGTGCGAGTGTCCCCCAGGGCTGAGGGGCTGCCGAGGCCTGTGAGCTTCCCTGCACCCCCATACTCCACCTGCAGGGGATTCACCAAGGGGTCCCCTGAACAGGACCAACTCCGTAACTTGTGAGGCCCAGTGCAGAGTGAAAATGTGCAGCCTCCTGTCCCAAAATGAAGAATTTCGAGATGATCTTAAACCAGGCAGGGACCCCTCTGAGCACGGGGCGCTGTGCGCAGGGTGCAGCCTGGGAAGCTGGCCCCTCTGCTTGGGGGACAGGCTGGGCTCCTCGGGCCATGCCAGCCTCCAGGGCTACAAAACTGGAGCTCCCAGCCTTAGCCCACTCACCTGTGAAACGCCTGGCCTGCTGAGCTCACAGGGCATGAGGCTGGCAGGCAGCTTGGTCTGCAGGTGTGCTGGAAGCTGGGCCCTCCCCCACTCTTTGAGCTGCTCCCCTTCTCTGAACACTGGGGATTTGGGTCAGTTCTGGGAGCACAGCTGCCTCCCCAGCCTGCTGGGCAGGGGGGCGTTGATGCTGACCGTGTGTGTGTGTGTGTGTGTGTGTGTGTGTGTGTGTGTATGTGTGTCTGCAGTCATGGGAGGGTCCCTTTCTGTCTCCTTGCTCTGTACCAGGCTGGGGGGCTGCCGAGGTGAGGGGATATCATCTGAGCAGCTGCTTATTCCTGAGGGGCCCGAGCTGTACCCCTAAAGCCAGGCTGGCTTAGACATGCCAAGAAGGGTCCCAGGCACTCAGGCTTTCCGCTGGGGAGGCTCGGATGTGGAGGAACAGAGTCTCCTAGCCAGCTGCAAGGTGGACTCAGGGAAGAGCTGACCTGGGGAGCCACCCCAGGCCGGGGGTCACTGTGGGCCCCATGTGCACCCTGGTCCCCCTGCCTGTAGGTGGGAGGAGCCAGCCTGGCCAGGTGTGCTCCCTCCCCAGGCCCTGGGCAGGGGGGTGCAGGGGCCAGCAGCTGCGCCCGCCCCACCCTCCTTCCCACCCACATGCCGAAGGGTGGCCGGGCAGGCAGGTGGGCGAGTCCGGGCGACGGCTGAGTCAGTGTGCGAGGAATGTTCTGGCCGCTCCCAGCTGCACCCTGCCCCTACCTGCCCCCACCTCACCTTTGTCCCCAGGCGCTGCGCCCTGAGCCTCTGCCAGGAATGCACCTTCAGCCCAGGCCTGCTCAGTGAGCCCCTGACAGCCAGCCCTGCTCCTCCCCCCAGGAGCCTGCAGACCCCTCTGGGCTTCCAAGTGGCTTACCATTGTGGGCCCCAGCTATGGGGGGGTCCTGGGGTAGGGGAAAGGAAGTGATGGGACCTCAGAGATGAGAACCCCCAGGGATGAGATGGGACCCCCAGGGTCCAGGGCCCAAGAGAGAGAGGCAGGGAGGGAGAGGGCTTCCTGGTGGAGGAGGCATCCTACAGTGGGGCAAGTGTGCTCTGAGGTCTGGTGAAGGCAGGGACCCAGCTGCCCAGGCTCTGCCTGCTTGGCTGGGGCTGGGGGCTGGGGGGAGGTGGCCAGGAGGCCGGGCCTGGGCAGCCAAACTAGAGCCTTGGCCAGGGTCCAGGGCCTCCCTCCCTTCAGCTTCCTGCCTCACAGAACCTTCGCCCCTGGCCACCCCGGGCTGCCTCCTTGCCCAGGCAGACCCAGCGCTGGCTGCTGCCAGGCAGATGGGGTAGTGGGCAGGGGTTGGAGGGGCCACCCTCCCAGCTGACCCAGCCTCCTGGACCATTTCTTCCAAGCCAGCAGGGCAGAAAGATGGGGCACTCACCAGACTCCCCCAGTGTCTCAGCCCCAGCTGGCACCACAGCTCTACCTCTCATTCCACACCGCATCGCCGGGACCCCCTGTGAGTTGTGGGACTCCCAAGAGGGGTGTGGGGATAGCCAGCCAAGTGGGGGCTGCAGCTGTCCCCCAATGCGCTGAGCCTGGCCTCCACCCCAGGGCCCAACTGGGCTGTCACTGCTGGTGCCTTTGCCTCGGGTGTCCTCCTCATCTCGGGCCTCCTCTGTGCTGTCTGCTGCTGCTGCCGCTGCCACAGGAAGAAGCCCAGAGACAAGGAGGCCGTGGGCCTGGGCAGTGCCCAGGGCACCACCACCACCCACCTGGTGAGGAGCGGCTCCTCTCCCGATCAGTCCAGAGAGGGCAGCTGGAAATCCAGGCTCCAGAGCCCAGGACAGCTAAGTGGCCTCAGCCCCAGGGACACTTTACTCCCCTCGAAACAGGGGTGACGAGAGCCTTCCTGGTAGGGAAGGTGGGTGAATAGAGGTGAGGAGGAGGCAGCATGAGAGGGGCGGCTCGGTGGGCCAGAGGGAGCCACAGCAGGTTCTTGAGGAAAGCCGGGGTAAACAGATACCACATTTGGTGGGTTTGGTGGGTCTCACAGAGCGAAGCTGAGGGTTTGTGCCTGCCGGGTGGCCTGCCCAGAGGTGGGGGTCTTGACCCATGTCCTGCAAGTGCTTCCCGGGAGCCCAGGGCTCCGATGGGGCATTGGCGGCAGCAGCAGCTGGCCCATGTCCGGACCCACCAGGTGCAGCCGGATGTGGAGAGTCTGCAATCCAGCCCGGCGGCCGCTCAGCAATGGGGGCGCCTGCAGCTCTCCCTGGAGTACGACTTTGGAAGGCAGGAGGTGAAGGGCCGCCGGTTCTGCAAGTTTCCGGAAAGGGTGATGGGTGAAGGGCCAAGCCTGTGCCCTGGGTGGTGGGGAGCCGACAGGGCAGGCCCCTTGGCTGAGCCCACTCCCCTGGCTCTCAGATCAGGGTGGGCCTGAGGCAGGCAGCCGACCTGAGGCCCGGGGGCACCGTGGACCCCTATGCCCGGCTCAGGGTCTCCACCCAGGCTGGGCACAGGCACGAGACAAAGGTGCACCGAGGCACGCTCTGCCCCGTGTTTGATGAGACCTGCTGCTTCCACGTGAGTCAGGGCTGGGCGGCTGGGCGGCTGGGGGCGCTAGGCTGGGGCAGAGGGCCTGGCTGACACCGCTGCCTCAGGTCCCGCAGGCGGAGCTGCCAAGGGCCACCCTGCAGGTGCAGCTTTTCCACTTCAGGCGCTTCTCGGGGCACGAGCCCCTGGGTGAGCTCCGCCTGCCACTGGGCACCGTGGATCTGCAGCATGTTCTGGAGCACTGGTACCCCCTGGGCCCACCGGCTGCCACTGAGGTGAGGCATGAATCACCAGGCCACAGACCCTCCCGCAGCCCAGGGCAGAGCTGGCAGGGACCCTGCCCTGTGGGACATGGGAGGGACTGAGGCCTGACGGGCAGCAGCTGTGGGGGCCTGAACCCCAGCTTGGCCAGAGGGGCCCTCCGGAGCTGAAGCCCTCTCACTGCCCGCAGCCCGAGCAGGTGGGGGAGCTGTGATGCTCCCTCCGGTACGTGCCCGGCTCAGGCCGTCTAACCGTGGTGGTGCTGGAAGCCCGAGGCCTGCGTCCAGGACTGGCAGGTGAGGGTCACATGTGCCCATGCTGGTGTACAAAGGTGGGACCCTGTGCACAGCCCCAGCCCGGGTCAGCGTCTCCACCTCCGGCCCCTCTTGCCTGCCCAGAGCCCTACGTGAAGGTCCAGCTCATGCTGAACCAGAGGAAGTGGAAGAAGAGGAAGACAGTTGGCAAAAAGGGCACAGCTGCCCCCTACTTCAACGAGGCCTTCACCTTCCTGGTGCCCTTCAGCCAGGTCCAGGTGGGCTGCTGGGAGGCAGGGTCAGATCAGGACCCAGTGCCAGACCGTGCTGACCAGTCTTTGTCCCCCAACCCCGCCCCGTGGCTTGTCTCTGTACAGAATGTGGACCTGGTGCTGACCATCTGGGACCGTGGCCCGCAGCTCCGGGCCGAGGCCGTGGGCAAGGTGCATCTGGGTGCCCGGGCCTCGGGGCAGCCCCTGCAGCACTGGGCGGACATGCTGGCCCACGCCCGGCAGCCCGTCGTCCAGTGGCACCCCCTGCGGCCAGTCATGGAGGTGGACCAAGCGCTGGCTCTGCAGCCCCGCCTGCGCCTGCCCCTGCCCCGCTTGGGAACACACCATGGGCCTGGGTCTCCCCGCTGAGCCCGGCCACTTGCCCAGGCTGCCCTGCAGGACCACTGCAATAAACGCCTTCTCCTGCCACTGTGTGTCCAGCTGGAGCCCCAGGGGACGCAGACACAGGGCCCGGCTCCACTCACCAGGGTCCCCCACAAGGACGGGGGAGGGGCTCCTCTCCAGGCTCAGCCAGGCCCTGAGGCCTCTGACCCAGCCCTGCTGGACCTCCGGGTAGGGGTGAGGAACCTCCCCAGGAGCACAGATCTGCGCCCCCCTCCCCCGGCCCTTCACCCTGCCCCTGCCGTCACCTCCTGGGCCCCCTGGGAGGACGGGGAGGTAGGGTCCAGAGAGTCAGGCCAGCTGGGATGGGGCGGGCGGAAGGCAGCCTTGCAGGACACAGCTCTGCCGGGCCTTCCCCGTGTGAACAGCAGGGGGCAGCAGATGCCTTCGGAAGCCGCTGAGGCCTTTAGGGGCTCCGCCCTGGCCGCTTCCCCTCTCCGTCCCCCACACATCTGGGCTGCCTTAGCGGCTGGAGCCTCCACGCTGCTGTCTCCTCTGATCCTCCCCATGGGGTTGGGGCCAAGAGCCCCCGCTCCGAGAGGGTGCCAAGTCACGGTCCCGGGGCCTCTGCAGGGTGGGGGCTGCGGAGCTGGGGGGAACGAGGGCCTCGGGCCTGGGTGAGAAGGGCAGTGCCGGGCCTGCCCGGGCAGCCAGGCGGGCCCCAAGCCCCCTCGGGTCAGAAAGGCTCCCAACGCGGGTGGCGCCACCCTCCTTAGGCTGAAGGATGTGTTCCAAGTCTCCGGAGGGGACTGTGGCCAGGCGTTCCAGGCAGGCTGGGAGGGGCCCAGTGCACGTACAGCAAGCCCCTCAGTCCCAGTCCTGCTCCCCAGGCAGGAAGCCGGCTTCACGCGGGGAGGGGGCAGCCCCCAGCCCTTGGCCGCTGTGGCAGGGCCCGGGAGGCCTCACCCCAGGAGCCAGGCTTGCAGAAGGGGGTCAGGCGTGGGCTGAAGCGGGGAACGGCCCACCGCAGGGGCCCAGTGGGGGAGCGGGCCCAGCAGAGAGGCTGTGGCTGAACCCAGCGGGCAGCCCGGTCGGCGAGCTGGACGCTGACCTCGGGCGAGGTGGGGTGAGGTGCACATCCTTGAAGGGTGACCCCTCGGCTGACCTGAGCCGTGTGCCCGGCCGATGCCACAGGCAGAGCCAGGCACCAGTGTCCTCAGGCCCCTTACAAGAACCGCAGAGGCGTCTCCAGCACGTCACCGAGCCCTAAATAGAGCCGCCCAGCCGCGGTGCCCCATCAAGACTTCTTGGACTGGGTGGCAGCACGCGGCCAGGCCAGGAGGCCGGACAGGTGGGGAGGTCTCTGTGGCTTCCTCGCCCCCATTGGTCTGAGGAGGACTCCATGCCCTTTCTGAGCAGGGGCCCAGCCTGGGGGAGGCCATTTATACCCCTCCCCCTGGGCCCACCATCCCAACTCGCCACCACCGGCCTGACCTCACGCCCAGCCCTGCTGCCCAGACTCTAGGTGAGGCCCAGCCTGGCCTGCCGAGGCTGGGGGACAGGGCATGGCTTGAGCTAGCTTGAGGGAGGACTCCCTGAGGCAGGGGTCTGGGGGTCGAGGGTGCCACCAGCAGCCCCCTTTGGGGGCCTCCGCAGACCGGGGAATGACAGGGAGAGGCTTGGGGAGGCAGCTCTGGCTGGAGGCAGGTCTTAGACAGGCCCCGACGACCAGGCTTCACCTCTGGGGACCCTGGAAGGAGAGTTTTGGAGTCAAGAAACCCCCGAACCTGAGCCCCCGGGCCACACTGAGGAGCCAAAGATGGAGGGTTAAAAATAACAGCGTCACTCAGGCGGCCACCTGCGCTGGCCCGTCCCCCACCCTCAGGGACAGCTGCAGCTCCTCAGGCTATGCCTGGGACATTTTGGGAACACTTTCTCCTCTTACTTCTCACCCTGGGGAATTCCAAGACGTTGTCCTTGAAGGGGGTCACAGTAAGGGGTGGGGTGGGAGGGGGGCGTCAGGGGAGGCCTGCACCCTTTACCAGCTGCTGGGCGAAGGCGTCGTGGTAGCCAGGCCCGGGCGACACCTCTGCCTTCCTCTCCCCGCAGGCTCCAAGCTCAGGACCTCAGGATGGGAGAGTAAGTGTACCCCCACACAGTGCCCCTGCCGCCTCCCGCCCCGTCCACCCCATCACGAATCCCACCCTGACGGCCATGGCCCTAACCTCTCTCTTCTCTCCCTGCCCGGCCTGTGTTCTCCCTCCCTGGACAGTGAGGAGGTAAGTACTTGCTGGGGGCACAAAGCATGGTGGGAAGGGGCTCCCCCACTCAGGATAGGTCACACGTTGCAGCCTCAAGGCCCTGAGACTCAGGGAAGATGGCCCCTGCCCTCCCTGCTGGCAAAAAGTGCCCCACCCACCCACCAAGAGAGGAAGTGGCTGCGCCGTGCCTTCTGGCCAGGGCAAGTGTGGCTGTGGCCTGGTCACAGGGAATCACTTCTTCTTTCTGATTCCTGCACTTCCCGCCCCAACCTTGCCAGCCAACCTGCCCCAGACCGGCCCTGTGGCCTGACTCCTCTCCCCCAGCCCCTGCCCCCCAGCACTATGTGCCACCTGGGCAAAGTGTCATGCACCACACAGCGCCCTGTCCCAGAGCGAGGTCTGGGCCCGGGGAGGCTGGGCCTCCCCATCATGGTCTCGGGAGCCCCCAGGCTCCGCTGGTCCCTGGGCAGGAGCCCCCGACCTGGCCAGGGAGTGTGGAACGGGGTCGGGGGGGTCCAGGCCCGGAAGTCCTGACTCTGTCCCCTGTCCCTGCCATGCAGAAGCGGAACAGGGCCATCACGGCCCGCAGACAGCACCTGAAGGTAGGTGTGGGCACCTGGGGGGCTGTCCGGGTGGGTCTGCGGGGAGAGCCAGCCCAGCCCCTCACCACCTGCCCCGCCGCAGAGCGTGATGCTCCAGATCGCGGCCACGGAGCTGGAGAAGGAGGAGAGCCGCCGCGAGGCCGAGAAGCAGAACTACCTGGCGGAGCACTGCCCACCACTGCACATCCCGGGCTCCATGTCCGAAGTGCAGGTACTGCCAACCCCCCGCAGCCGGCCTGCCTGCTGCCTCGGTTTCCCCACTTGTCAAGAGGGCCAGCCGGGTGGTCAGGGCAGGGGCCGGTGACCGTGGCTGCAAAGTGTCAGGATGGCCACCCGCCCCCACGCCCACCCCTAGGAGCTCTGCAAACAGCTGCACGCCAAGATTGACACGGCTGAAGAGGAGAAGTACGACATGGAGGTGAGGGTGCAGAAGAGCAGCAAGGAGGTGAGTGACGGGGATGGGCAGCGGCCCCCAAGGCGGGTGGGCGGACTGGCAGGGGCAGGGAGCTGAGGCCACTGGGACCTCGGGTCCTCACCTGGCTCCCGTGCCCACAGCTGGAGGACATGAACCAGAAGCTGTTCGATCTGCGGGGCAAGTTCAAGCGGCCCCCACTGCGGAGGGTGCGCATGTCGGCCGACGCCATGCTCAAGGCCCTGCTGGGCTCCAAGCACAAGGTGTGCATGGACCTGAGGGCCAACCTCAAGCAGGTCAAGAAGGAGGACACAGAGAAGGTGCGTGCCACGGGGAGCACCACCCACGCCCACCCTGCTGGGGGAGCACCACCCATGCCCACCCTCTCCCTGGGGAGCACCACCCATGCCCACCCTCTCCCTGGGGAGCACCACCTACACCCACCCTCTCCCTGGGGAGCACCACCCATGCCCACCCTCTCCCTGGGGAGCACCACCTACACCCACCCTCTCCCTGGGGAGCACCACCCATGCCCACCCTCTCCCTGGGGAGCACCACCCACACCCACCCTCTCCCTGGGGAGCACCACCCATGCCCACCCTCTCCCTGGGGAGCACCACCCACACCCACCCTCTCCCTGGGGAGCACCACCCATGCCCACCCTGCTGGGGGAGCACCACCCACACCCACCCTCTCCCTGGGGAGCACCACCCACACCCACCCTCTCCCTGGGGAGCACCACCCACGCCCACCCTCTCCCTGGGGAGCACCACCCATGCCCACCCTCTCCCTGGGGAGCACCACCTACACCCACCCTCTCCCTGGAGAGCACCACCCACGCCCACCCTCTCCCTGGGGAGCACCACCCACGCCCACCCTCTCCCTGGGGAGCACCACCCACGCCCACCCTCTCCCTGGGGAGCACCACCCATGCCCACCCTCTCCCTGGGGAGCACCACCTACACCCACCCTCTCCCTGGAGAGCACCACCCACGCCCACCCTCTCCCTGGGGAGCACCACCCACGCCCACCCTCTCCCTGGGGAGCACCTCCCACACCCGCCTTGTCCCTGGGGAGCACCTCCCACACCTGCCTTGTCCCTGGGGAGCACCTCCCACACTCACCCTGCTATGGGTCCCAAAAGCACACTGCCCTGCCGGGTGCCCTGCACCACTGCCCCTCCAGGGCACTCTACAGCCCAATGCAGAGGGGAACCTGAGGCTGAAGGTGGTGTGGACCAGGGTGCGCCTGAGCTCTCTCCTGCCCCCACCCCCAGGAGCGGGACCTGCGAGACGTGGGTGACTGGAGGAAGAACATCGAGGAGAAGTCGGGCATGGAGGGTCGGAAGAAGATGTTCGAGTCGGAGTCCTAGGCTCCTCGTCAGCCCACGCCTGCCCGGGGCCCAGCTCCCAGCAGAGCACACCGGGGGCACGCACCCAGAGCCTGCCGTGGAGGGCTGGCCTTGTGTCCACTGTCAATAAAGGATCTGAATCCCCTTGGCTGGTCTGGTCTGGCTCTCCCCAGCCTCATTGGCTGTGCTCTGGGCCCCGGTCTCGGTGGCCTGCGGTATGGTCAGTGGCCAGTGGGGAAAGCCTGGGAGGAGGCTGCACGGGGCCTGAGGGTTTCGGCTTGGGAGGGAGGCTGCTTCCAGCAAGGAGGTGAGTCCGGGAAGGCCCTGCAGGGGAATCCACCCACTTGGAGAACGTGGAGGGGTGCACCTGCAAAGTGGGCCACGGGATCTCGGGCTAGGGATCAGCACAGGCTAGGGATCAGCATGGGATCTCGGGCTAGGGATCAGAGACCGGCCTGGTCTCTCGTCCTTACTGCCACCCTGAAAGATAGGCTGTGTCACTCTTCACCACACCAGGGAACCAAGAGACTTGTGCCCACCAGCGACCCCAACCAGGCCCCAGTGTGGCCCCAACTCTCCTTTCCACTCTGCCCCAAGACCCTAGCCCCAACTGGCCACCAAGGACAGGGCTCTGACAGGCTCTGACAAGGCTGGTGACAGCAAGGCTGCCTTGTTATCAGTTGCGCTCTTCGAAGGCTACCAGAGCAGGCACGCCAAGGTCCCTCTGCTCAGATCTTCGCTGAGGAGACGCCAGCCCGCGCTCTGCCCTTGCCCTCTGGAGGTCCTGCTGATTGATCTGCCGGAGGTAGGACGTACATCGGCAGTTCCGCCTCTGGCTGCCTTGAGGACTGACGTCAACGGGCGCCCGGGATGGCCTTGGCTGTGTACCGTCCCCCGCCCCGCAGGCATCCTCCAGCCCTGGCATTCAGCTCTGACCTTTACCGCAACTGAAGCCCCACGCCAGGCTGAACCCCCACCCGGGCCTTCTCCTGGAGCCCCCTGTAGGGGAAGGCCAGGCCACTAGCGTGAAGCAGCACAGCTTGGGGCCAGGGGTGCACAGCCTGGTGGGTGTAGCTGGGGCAGAGGTGCAGGGTGCCCCACACCGTGATGATGGGCGCAGCCCGGGGTGGAGGGGGTCATGGGGCACAGAAGTGTGGCTTGAGACCTGGCCTGTGGGGGAGACACTGCTCAAGGCCGAGCCTCAGCTGAGCCTGATGGAGGACAAGGGGTGCTGCAGGCCGGGGTGTGCCCGGCACAGATCCAGGCAGGCGGGCACATGCACAAGTGGTGGCGGGGCCTGGCCATAGACCCCCTTGCAGGGTACCCGGCAGCTCTGTGGTGCCTGTGCCCACTGGGAAAGAGGCTGGACCCAGTCTCATGGGGTATCAGGGCCGGGCATGAGTTCACACCTGGCTCACCACAGGATTCCACTCGGCCGGCCGGGCAGACACACTACGTAGGAAAATCACCGTTTTTATCTTAAAGCCAGGAGACGTCAAACACAAATGTCAAAGATCCCCTGGGGCGGGTGGTTGGGGGCAGAGCAGGCTCGGAGCAGAGTGAGGACCCCCGAGCTGAGGTAGGTCTGGGGAACGCTTGCGGTCCTGGGCTGGACAGCTGCTGTATGGGTGTTTGTTACATTTCCAATAAATGAGTGAATGAATAAAGGGCTGAGTGAAGTGAGGCCTGATGAAACCAAACCAGCCAATCTCAGACTGGCCCCCCCGAGCCCGGCTCCATCTCCCTTGGGTGATTCTGGTATAGCTGCTGGAAGAGGCCTGAGGCATGGGGCCGGCCCCCAGCTCTGCATTCTTGAAAGACCTCAGCAGGGTGGAGCACAGCTGAAGTCACCGCCAGGTCCAGGGAGTGAGGAATGGAGACGTGGAAGGGGCCGGGTCCCCAGGACATGAGGGACATGAGGAAGCCAGGCCCTTGCTGGGGGCACGGGAGGGCGGGGCTGCCCTTCAGGGCTGGAGGAAGTGGCTTTGGGAGGAGGTGAGGCACTCCCTTTGGGCTGCTGGGTTTGGGGGCCCTGTGGAAATTCCGGCGGGGAGCTGGCCCAGGCAGCTGGAGCCGGGGCAGGGCTGGAGATGGGAATGTGGGTGTCCTGGGTGGCGAGTCCATGGGCAGAGATGCCCAAGGCCAGGGCGAGAAGAGAGGAGGGGGAGGGCGGGGACAGCCAGGGCAGTTGGAGTGGCCACCACGAGTCCCAGGGGAGTCCTGGAAGAGGAGGGGACAGGCCAAGGGCGGGGGATGTGGGCAGCCCTGTGTGAGGCTCTGGAGGTCGGGAAAACATGGCCTCTGAAGTCCCATGTGACCCTGGGCTGTGGCCAGGAAGGCGTTGGGGAAGACGGGGCACAGTGAGCCAAGGAGGGAGGCGGGTGAGAGGAAGTGCACGGGGCACCCCTGGAGACAGAGGGCAGGGGTTACTTGGGAGGCACAGGGCCGGTGTGGGTGCAGGGCAGGCATGGGTGCATCTGCCTGAGTGGGCATTTCCTGCTCTGCCGCTGAGTGATTGAGACGCAGACCCCCAGTGTCAAGGATCACACCAGGCCGCAGGCCGGTTCTCTAAAACCATCCTGCCCTGAAGGACCGGGGCTCCTCGGAAGAGAGGCTGACGGCAGGGCGGGGCAGGAAACATGCAGGAAGAGCCTGCCATGTCCTTTCTGCCAGGAGGCCCCAGTGACGCAGAGGGCCTGCCCTGTGCCCCCGCTGACGGGAGCAGCCGTCAGGACACAGACTGGCAGACAAGATAACAGCAGCATCCGTGGTAGACGTGCAGAACTTCAGAGCTGCACTGCGGTCACACAAAAGAACATCTGCACTCCAAGGAAACAGACCTTCAGGTCTTCAGGCGTCAAGGAGGGAGACAGAGACGGACAGGGAGACAGGGAGACAGAGACAGAGAGATGGAGAGACACAGAGAGACAGAGAGAGACACAAAGACAGAGAGACAGAGATAGAGGGACAGGAGACAGAGAGACAGATACAGAGGCAGAGAGAGACAGAGGCAGAGGCAGAGAGACACAGAAGCAGAGAGACACAGACAGAGGCAGAGAGAGAAAGAACGAGGCAGAGGTTCAGAGAAACAGAGAGAGAGGCTGTGAGGCGGAGAGGCAGGGGTCAAATGGCAGAGTGGACGTGGGCCCTGGGCGAGGGGCACAGATGCACCTTGTCAAATTCTCTCTTGAAAATTCTCTGTGGGTGAAATTATTTTCCCCAAAGCTGAACTTTTCCTTAAACATTAACGCAAGAACGTGTGTGAACAACAGAAACAGATGACATGAGAACAGGAGTTAACAAAGGGACCTCACAGGGCTCGGGTGTGGGCAGAAAGGGGTGCAGAGGACGTGGGGACCTCGGGGGTGGCGGCAGAGGCTGAGGCTGAGGGCAGAGGGCGGGGCTGGGTGCCAGGCCCTGGGTACAGCTCGCTGGCTCCTGGGGGAGCTCCTGGTTTCAGAGAAGCCGTTCTTCAGCTGGGCTTAGGGAGTCGGGGTGGGCCCGGGAGCAAGGCTGGCAGGTTGCCCACCAGGGATAGTGGGAGGGAGACCTGGGTGCCCTGGGCATGCTGTGCACTGGGCGGAGCCAGGACCAGGCGGCCGTGAAGCTTTGTTCTCTCCAAGGGGCTGATCTCAGAGGCGCTTCCCTCTGACCTTCACCCTCATGCACCCGGTCAAGGGGAAGCCAGGAGTGGGGTCCCAGACGGGGACACAGAGTTTCCCCACGAATGTTCACCCGCTGGACCTCCTGTGTGGCCCTCAGGGGTCCCTGGGCCCGAGGATCAGGGCTGGGCTTCACCCTCTCTTCCAGCTGCGCCTCACCCCTGACCTGTCCAGCCCTGTGTCCTCTTTGGTTCCCCGGCACCAGCGATGCCGGGCCCGAACCCACCTCTGCGGGCCGGTGCGTGGCTTCGCCGTCTTGGAAAACTGAGCCCGGCAATCGCCACGGCCGCATCGCCGCACTCCTCCAGCTCCGGCTCTCACCAGACAGCCCCGGAGCCCGGGGTTAGAGCTGCCTCTGTGGCTCAGCCCCATTCCACCCTGATGGGCTGCCCGGCCTTGGTTTACCTAGACGTACGATGAACTTGGAGATGAGAGTGCCTGCCTCACTGGGCCACAGGGTAGGCAGAGACTCAGCTGGCACCTCCTCCTCGCCTGGTGTGACCCTCAGAGTCAGCCTGACTCTCCCCCAGCCCCAGCAAGTCCCAGCTCAGCCCTCTGGACCACCCCCTGCTGAATGTCACACCAGGATCGCCAAGCCTGCCTCCACCCCAGGCCTGGAAGCTTCTCCCCAGACTCTCCCTGTGGCCACCTCCTTCTTACCCTGCAGTTACAGCATGGCCACCTCCTCCGAGAAGCCCTCCATGAGTCCCTGCCCATCTCTGTGACTTCTCCTGGTTATTTTCCAGAATGACTATGGACTTGTGTTTTTTTTTTTATTTGTTCACTGTCTGTCTCTTTCCCTGGGAGGGAAACTCCACGAAGTCGCGGACTTGGGGTTATTTGCAGCCACGTCAGTGCTGCTGGGGCTGGGAGCTAGCACACAGCCGCGAAGGGGACTTCAGCAGGGGGCACGGGGTCTGCATAAGCATTGTCTAACAGTCCCTGCAGGACGCCAGGGCCTCTGTGTACACTGCAGTCCTCCAGCAGCCACCATTCCCGGCTGTGCGGGGCCATGCCGGAAGCTCCCCACCCCCCACCCGTTGCCGGAAGCCCCTCCATCCCCTGGTTGCTTCCGCCCTCCTGCAAACACCTCCACCCCTCTACAAAAACTGGCCCCAGGGCCTCTCCCTCTCCAGGCCCCTGTCACCTCCACCTCCCCACCATCCCCTCTCATCTTCGTTGCTCCCCTCCCTGCCAGGCTGCTCCTGACTCCCTGTCCCTCCTCCAGCCATCAGCCATTGGGAAGGTCTGGGTCCCAAAGGCTCCAGTCTCTGTGGCACGGATTCTGTGAGCTGTCTCCCTCTGATCCTCCCCTCTGCTGCCTCCACCCAGCCCCCGAAATCTCTTCCTCACACCCCCAATCACCTGGGACCCCACCTCAAACCAGAGGCCATGGGGCTGAACCCAGTAATTATCACTGCCCTCTCATGAGAGTCGACCCATGCCCCCGCTACCAGTACATGTCCACAGCGAGCCCCTCACA